CCCACGCACTGAGCATGTGCACACATCTAAAGCACAAAAGCTTAAATTATTTCAGAATTCACCTCGTCCAAAGAGGGGCTTTCCGGGAACACAGATTCCTCCCCAACCATTGTACTTGGTCGGGTTTGCTCCACCCTCTAAAACAGTTTCCAGTCACACGCGCGATGGTACAGGCAGAACAGGTTAAACGTGAGAGACTTTTAAAGCCCATTTTGATAGAAGTACTTAAGTTTCCTGCAAACTGTACAAAATCAAGCCCATTACGGAGGCTGAGCGCCTCCGCGGTTTGCGGTACTCAGCACGAGCCCTGCTCCGGCGCTCGGGAGGGGGACTGTGACCGGGAAAGGGAAGGCGACGGACAAGGCAGCAGGCCCGGACCCCACAGGAGCCCCTCCCCAGCCTGGGGGCCAGCTCCCTGCAGGGACCCGCCCCCAAAACAAACTCTGGAGTTTGAGAGAGACAGAAGGTCCACACACTTCCCTTATTGCCACGTGGCCACGTGGTCGGGCGGGCGTCCCGGGGCAGGAGCTGTGCCGCCCCTGCGTCTCCCCTGCAGCACAGCGAGAGGCTCATTGCCTGGTTCCCCAGACACCAGAGGGAGGAGACCCTTCCCCTTCAAGCCCACAGCCCCCTTTCCCGAGCACACGTACAGAGGTCCACACAGGCGTGCACACACGCACGGAGTGGCCCAGGGACCGCTGTCACTAAAAGAATAACAGCATCTGCCTTTGCACCTTGGGGTTCTGTGCTGACAAGGGCGAGGGCCTGAAGGGTGCCACGGGGGTACAGCAAGGTCTCCGGACCCCAGTGGGGTTCCGCTCGGCTACCGTGGCCGCTCTGTGCCCGGGCACCTGCCTCGGACGGTCTGTGGTTCTGAGAAACGAGAAGGCGCCTCCGCACAGGCAGGCCCGGCAGCAGGAGCTGGTCAGAGCCCACGAGGGAGGCGCCCGCTAGCCAGGCAGACGCGGGGCTGCCCCTCAGCAGAGCACAGCCTCCCGGAGGTCCCGCACCTGCAGCCCCTCTACAGCCGGCACCACATGCAGTGGCCCAGGACTGCGCATAGCACCCGTGGCTGCCCGCGCCCACCTCCAGCCAGCCAACCTCCACCGGCGCACAAACAGCAAGGGCTCAATGTCGGTTTTTAAAGAAGATACCTGGTGCTTTCTCCACGAAAATGACCTTGGAGCCCTGCAGGAAGTTGTGGCCGGACAGGACCATCCTCTTCCCGCCGAGGACGGGGCCGCTGGCCGCGCTCTGCTTCTCTACGAGGGGCAGCTCCTGGGCCGAGCGCTGGGCTGTGCGGGGCAGGAGAGCAATGAGAGTGAGACGCCCAGGCCCCTCTGCTTGGCCCGTCCACTACACCCTGCTTTCAGAGTTCCTGGGTGAGCAGTGCGACCCGTCCCTGGTACATGGAACAGAAGAGTAACCACGCGTGGTCCGTGTCTTCACAGTCTGCTCCAGGTTAGAGTGACACGGGAAGGCAGCCACGCCTCTGACTTGTCCACGTGGAGACAGCTCACCTCTCAGTGACGAGCGTGCACACGCGTGTGTGTGAGTGAGTGGGCACGCTCTGCCAGGGTGACTGACTGCCAGTGGGAAGGGCCCGGGGAAGCCGCGGGGAGTCCCGCTGGTGATGGGGAGGCCACGGCCTGGAGAGCAGGCGCCCCCAGCTAGGAGGTGGGATGTGGGGACCCATCTGAAGCGGGCTCTGGCTTAGGGGCTGGCGGGCCACAGGCGGCCGAGCTCAGGCTGTCAGGGAGGGCGGGACGGGCAAAGGACCAGACGCAGGAGTCAGAAGTGTGGCTGGGGCAGGTGGTGAGGCCGAGCCAGGGGTCCTGACACGGTCACCCAACGGCCAGGGCACCTGAGAGGAAGGGTCCTGCTCTGCCTCACGGGGCGGGGGCCACGGGGCAGGAGGGCAGAGCCATCCGTGGCAGACCCCACGGCCTGGGGATGGACTTCTAGAGACTGGACGGGAGGGTCCAGCAGCAGCGTGGGGGAGGGCTGGGACAGAGGCGTAGACCACACAGCAGAGAAGGGGCTGCAGTGGAGGACGCCCCGTCGCCAAGGTCTGGCCGATGCTCAGGTCAGAGGCCGAGGAACCGAACCAGGACGTTCCCGCTGAGACGGGTGGGCGGCTGAGCCGCGAGGTCGGGGGTGTCCTGAGACAGCCCACGCTGGTGGGGCGGGGCGGTGCTTTAGAGCTGAGAGGAGGGCGGATGGAAAGGCTCTCGCTGGGGCCGTGGCCAGTGGAGACTCTGGTCCCCACCCCGGGTCCGGATGTCGGGTCGGGGGCGGGCACTGTGGGGTTTCCATACGGAGCTGAACCGGTCGCCCGACTCGCTAACAAAAACGAGCAGAGTCACTGCAAGAGGAAGCTGACCCCAGGCCACGGCGGTCGCAGCTCCCGGAGGAGCTGAGTGGCCATGAGCATCCAAGCCAGAAGCATCTCACCACCTGGGCCCGTCCACACACACCGGGGGCAGTGAACCCAGGGCCATCAGGGACAGAGGCCCGAGTTACATACGGGCAGGCATGCAAATTTAGATCCCTTCAATCCAACAGATTTCAAGGCCAAAATGCCACTTTCTCAAGTTCCCTGAAACGTGAGGGGATAAAGTCAAATTCGGTCACCGCAAACATCTCGGTACCTCGGGACAAACCTCCTTCCCCTCTTACGCCCTCCTGCAGGTGCCGGGAGTCGGCAGCAGCCCTCACACCACGCACAGGAGCTGCGGGCGCCCTGGCCAGGGTGCAGGTGTTTCCGTGACTGCACGGGAAGGTGCGGGTGTTGTGGGTGGGACGAGCACAGCTCAGGGAACCAAGGTGCTACTGGAAAGGAAACCTGCGGCAGGGGCTGGCCCCGCTTGGCCTGGAGACGGGGGTGGGGGGTGAAGCAGCACTCACAGCACTCGATGGGGTTGGAGGCGACCTGCAGCGACAGCATCCGGCCGTTGGGCTGCGGGACGTGGACGCGGAAGACCAGCCTCACCCGCGTGTTCTTTCTCCCGATGTCCGTTTCCCCCTTGCGGAGCTCGATGTCGGAGTTTCTGAGCTTCAGGATCCCGGCGCAGTCGATACTGCCGGAAACAAGAGTCTACGCTTGGCCCCGGAACCCCGCCCCATCCCGGGCGACCGCTCACCGAAGGGACTTTGCGGCCCTGCCCAGGGGCCGGGGCGGCCAGACACCCACCCGTCAAGTGAGCTGGGGCCGAGGCAGCGGGAGACGAGCCAGCCCCGGCCTCAGGAGCCCGGATCCCAAGCAGGCAGAGTTGCCACATGCTCAGGGCTCCAGAAGCCCCAGCCCCACCGCCCTGGGCTCGCGTGGACGCCCCAGAGCAGGACGCGGCGTCCAAAGGAAGGCTCCCCCGGCGGCTCCATAAACCTCCTTCCACTTAAGATTCTGGCAGCGTCCCCCTTAATTCAGGATCCTGAGTTTTCTAGGGCCTCATATGATTTCACTTAATTTCATTTAACTTAACAGTTCCATTCAACACCAGACTCCAGCAGAACAATCCAGGCGTCATTCATCAGATGGAAACCAGCCCTTTCCCTCTGTCAGAAGCTAAGGAAACGAGGTTGCATGATGCCTCTAGGTCAGGACCACAGCCCAGCCCGGAGCAGCAGGGAAGCCCTGGCCCTGGAGCCCGGGGCCAGTCCTGGTCCCGTGGTGTCTACACCGTCTCTGGGTTGGATGGTATTGTGCTAAATGCAGCCACCGAAGGAGCAGCTGCCGCTGAAGGAACCAGCAGTTCTCTCCAACCATCTGCCCTGGTCTGAGGGAACTGTGACAACAGCTCTTGAAGCAAACCCAAGGATTTAGAATGAATTCCCCCAAATCCGTGAAAAGCCAACGTGGAGAGAAGGCCTTCCCTTTCTTTTCCTTTTATCTCTTTTTGTTGTTGTTGTTGTGAGCACAGGCTCTAAGGCACGTGGGCTTCTGTAGTTGTGGCGTGTGGGCTCAGCAGTTTTGGCTCACAGGCTCAGTAGTTGTGGCTCGCGGGCTCTAGAGCGCAGGCTCAGTAGTTGTGGCGCACGGGCTTAGTTGCTCCGTGGCATGTGGGATCTTCTGGGACCAGGGCTTGAACCTGTGTCCCCTGCATTGGCAGGCAGATTCTCAACTGCTGCGCCACCAGGGAAGTCCCTCCCTTTGTTTTTGACTTAGAGGGTTTATGAGTTACAAACAACTTATCCAAATCCCAGGCAAAGCTCTACACGATGTGGCTTCCACACCCGCTCCCTCACCCGCCGCAGCCCTGAGCTCCTCGCTGCCCCATGGACTCCCCAAACTCACTCCTGCCTTGGGGCCTCTGCGCTTGCTGCCTTCCTGCAGGGTCAGCTCTCGGCTTCTGTGCTGCGCCCCCCCCCCACAGACACTCGCCCCCGAAGTCTCCAACATGCCCCCCATGCTAATGAGTTCCTGCCTTACGTCCCCCGCCCCAGAGGCCCCCAGGAGAAGGCAAGTCCTGTGGGACAGCCATGTCCCCTTTCTCTGCTGCATTCACAGCTCAGGAGTGAAATGCATGTAGCAGTCACTCAGTTCAGGAAGCCACGAACACAGGCCCTACTTGGACACGAGAAGATGGCCCTGCAGCTTGTTAACCAATTCACCTCTAAGCTACTGAGTCAGATCTGACCTGCACATTCCAGCTGGTCACATCGGAGATGCAGAAGCCCTCAGTGAAATACGACCCAGACATACGGGTCTCTGTAATGTTTCAATGTTTGCCTTTTAACCACTGCTCTAACTTTCACGGTGCGTCACAGAAATAAACGGGTGCCACGTTCACACATGCAGGAAGTGCTGACAGCTATGAACTGAGACACTTAAAGTGGCAACACGCACAGGGGCTGAAACCCTAGGAAGAAACAAATCCATTGTCATAAATATTTGTAACATTTACTGAGGTGTTAAGCCCAGGGCACCCAGGGCCCCTGAGCTGTGGAAATGTGGGGAGAGATGCAGGCGCGCGAGCGCCCACCCGAGCCCCCGCCCCGCCCACCGAGCCCCCGAGGTGCAGCTTACATTGCACGCATGTTGTTTTCTGGCAGCAGCGGGATTTCCAGGACCTTGGTGTTAGAGAGGATGGCCTCGTGGCTGGTGGTGGAGACGGTCTTGCCCGTGATCCGGTGCACCTGGTAGAAGGCGTGGGGCCTCAGCAGCCGGTCGTCCGCTGTCCCGATGAACAGCTGCAGGGTGAGCGGCTCGCTCTCCATGTAGCCGTGCAGCTGGGGAGGGAGGGGGACAGGCCTGTGAGCGCCGCGCCGACGCCCGGACCCACCGTGCTCCCCGTGCAGAGGCTGGTTCAGAGGGGAGCGTGCGCGGGCCGAGGCTGGTCCCCTCGCCCCTCCTGCACCTCGAGCCCCAAATTCTGGGGCCTCTGCTCCACAGTCGTTCTGAACACTTGGCTGCCCACGCTGGAACACACGCGCACAGACGTGCAGTGCACACCTGCACGCATGTACCTGCATCCCAGGAGCACACGTGCCCCGTGCCCGGGACAGTGATGGGGACCCGCAGGGGGGGCGCAGATGGGAAGCAAAGCCAGTCTCTCCAGGCCACTGCCTCCTCCTCAGGCCACCCCTCTGCCCACACACAGGCGACACAAGCAGCTCGTGGGGCCCCACCCGAACCTGGGCCAGTGCCAAGCCCTCCACACAAGCCTCCCCTGATGAATTCAGACACTCGCCCAAGAGGACACCATCCACTTTCCCCTGCTCAGTCCAGTCCGAACCAGCAAACAAGACACAAACAGCATCGGCCCTTTTCGGTCTGGCTTGGCAGGTGGTGGCTACGGGCTGCCCTGGTGCCTGTTGCAGGCACCCCTGGACCGGCTGCGGGGAGCCCTAGGTCCTGGCCCGTCTGCCACCAGCATCAAACCCAACATGGGTGGCCGCGCATGGCCGTTCTGATTGTGTGGGCTGGCCAGATAGTGTGTGGGCACAAAACCCAGCGAGACTTGGGCCCCAGAACCGGAACAAGCCCATCATGCACCAGGAGCCCATGGGAGAGCGCTGCTCCCGCATTTCAGGACCTACACTGGCCACCCCCATGCCGACCACCAGGGGCGCAGGTCAGAGCCCTCCTCGCGCCCCTGCACCTCCAGCCGCTGCCTCCCTCAGGGTGAGTCCTTTTCAGAACTGAATTTGACTCGCCTTCTCCATCCAGGTCACAGCTGACCGTACTCAAGAGGCAAATGCTGAAGAAAGCAGGCAGCTCAGAGCGAGGCCCAGGCCCAGCTTCCACAGGACCCCTGGGGCTCACCCCCTCCTCCTGCAGAGGCAGGCGACCTGCGTCCAGCCAGAGCCCCCAAGGGTCCCGACGCAGGACCCCCGCAGGAGGCGCAGCCCCATGAGCAGAAAGGCTCAGTCAGTACAGCTGTGCTGCTCCTCGCGTTGTGGTCACGGTCTCCCTGGACTGATTTTAGCCCCTCTGACAACAGGTAGCAACTGTAACACAGTCCGATGGGCCAAACTAGTGCCGTCCCCGAGAGCGCTGTCACCGCTTCCACAGCAGCAGAGACCCTGGTACGGCAGCGCCAACCAGGCCAGACCCGCCTGCTCCCCCGCGGGATTCTCAGGGGGTCGTGAGCCCCTCCCAGCCCTGCGGCCGAGCAGAAGCCACGGAAGAACCAGCCCCGCAGCGGGGTTGTGGTCAGGTCCACGTGCCTCGTGAGCCCCGTCCGGGCTCCGTCTCTGCCCTGTGGGAAGGCGCCCTGACGGTCACTTCACAGCCCACGGGGAGGAAAGCTCAGGCTGGATGACCAAGACCTTCCAAGCTGCACTGGCTCAGGACACGGAGCGGGCCGGGCCACAGCGCCAAGGGCCAGGCTGCCAGGTGACCGAGGGAGCACAAGAGGGGCATGCGTCAGTGACCCAAAGAAATGGGAAACCTCCGGTCCAGCTGCAACTGACTGCGGTGACCGAGATCCTGCTTCCGTCTCTATGGGTCATTTTTCCAAGTTGGGATTTTAGAATGGAAGCTGAAGCTCTGTCCAGATGAATGGTCGGAATTCCGCTGGAAGGTCCAGTGCTGGGAGCTGAGCGCTTTCTCTGCCCTGGGTGTCTCGCTCTCTGTATTCCTTGGAGAGAACTCACTATATGCTGCCCCGGCTGGTTTTCCATTTCTTTCTACAACATCCAGTTAGCAGCGCCCGCCTCGCCCCCCCGCCCCCGCCACACTGTGGCCTCCCCGAGCTCTCCCCCGTCCCTGCGTTTGGGAACAAATGTCTCTTCAACCCAGAGAAGCGAGCGCCTGCTGTTTCAAGTGTGGTTCAAATCAGCAGTGACCTGTTCATCAAAGCCGCGCCGACAAAGACCAGCTACTGCGCCGACTTCACTTAATTACGAGAACTTATAAATTTTCAGAGCTCAGCAGACAGAGCCCCAGACGATGGCAGGCCGCTCACGGGAGACTCACAGGCGCTCAGCAAGCAGAGTGCCAGGGCCCGCGCGCCTCTCGCTTGGGGCCCCCGGGAAGGATGTGCCTGGGCGCCAGGCCGCTGGTGGGGCTGAGAGTCGGGCCAGACGAGGGATCCAGGTGGCGCCTTATTAGGGCGGGGCCCCCGCAGGGCCAGCGGCTCCTTCCCCCCCATCCCGTCTCCCGGCCGACAGGGTCTGCATGGTGTCGCAACTGTGGATAGGAGACAGCAGGCCACGAGCCAAGACTCACCGCTGCTGGACCGCAGCCCCCAGTGAATGAATTTACAGCTTCAGGTGAACGTCCAGCAGCTCTGAGGCTCCCACACGAGCTCACCACGGGTGTCCGGTGTCTGTGGACATTCCAGAGCATTCCGTAGCACCCGGTAAATATTTAACAGCCCGTGTTTGTCACAGGCTGTGGAGTGGCCCCTGGGGGCTCTGAATGTCACCCTTGAGGTTTTCTGGAGACAAGCAGGAGCTCCATGTAGGACAGGTATGCACAGACGCAAACGCAGCACGCACCGACACACATGCACATTCACACTCAGACACATGCACACACGCACGCGCTCTCCAGACTTGCTCTGGAATTCGGTAGTTGGTTGGGAAGATCTTATTTCCTGGCGGCAGCAGGAGTTTCATGCGTCAGGCTCCCAATTTTTATCGTTTTCATCTGTGACGTGGCTCCAGGCACCCATGGATGTGCTTATATTCAAAGTGGTTCTTCCCTATTAAAATAATCGAGCTTTCATTCTGACCCACAGGTGTCTGGCCCATATGGACCAGACGAGTGTCTGACGGGCGTGCACAGAGGAGGGGAGTCGGTCCCAGGCCTGCGGCTGAACCCGAGTGGCCGTGGCAAGCAGAGAACTGGCGGAAGCGTCACGTTTGCTGAGAGACCCACCCGTCCACTCGCTGCCCTCCTGGCCTGCTGTGCCCCTCTCGAGGCCAACGCAGAGACTTTCCTGCTCTAGGGCCGCCACACAGAGAACCTGCCAGGAGCCACCCAGTGCCTGATGCTCATTTCAAGGTGGGTCCTGCTCACGTGGCTTAATTCTGCAGAAACAAGATGCCTCTCCTGTTTGAACTGAAAAGATTTTTCCGGTGTGGACACATGAGCATCTCTACACACACAGAGTTCAGTTAGGGGGGAACCAGGACCAGCTTGCCGGGTCCACCCAACTTCTCCCTGCTGGGGAGCGTGAGTCTTCTGCCAATTTAACGAACCTCCTAAGAAACCTGTACTCTGTGCTGGACTTGACCTACAGTTTTAAAACAGGAAATGTAAAAATAAAATCAGAGACTGATGAAGAAACAAATTTTGCCTCTTAGCATTCCATTTTGTGACATTTAATACAAGAATATGTAAATGAGTCTTTGGCTAAGACTGTCTCTTGTGTGGCCAAGGCATATTCCTCCCAGCCCCCAGGCCGGCACATGGTCTGGCCGGGGTCAGACGATTTGAAAATGACAATTTCAAATCCCACGGGACTCACACTGGGGCCCTACTCTGACAGCACGTAGGATGCAGCGGACTGTGGAAGTAACTTTGCCTTTTTAAATACATGCCATTTCAGTGAAAACGGGAATATTTAAGGTTTTACCTGGAAGATAAGCATCTATTATTGAAACCACGAAGTTCATTTTAAGAGAAGCAATTTAAATACTGCACATGTCCCACTGCCTGGGTTTTCTGCCCCTGGCACGTTCCACTATCTGTCAAAATAATATTTATAAAATCACCTGTCATATTTTCTCCAAAGAAGATATACAGACAGCCAACAAACACATGAAAGAATGCTCAACGTCATTAATCATTAGAGAAATGCAAATCAAAACTACAATGAGACATCATCTCACACCAGTCAGAATGGCCATCATCAAAAAATCTAGAAACAATAAATGCTGGAGAGGGTGTGGAGAAAAGGGAACACTCTTGCACTGCTGGTGGGAATGTGAATTGGTTCAGCCACTATGGAGAACAGTATGGAGGTTCCTTAAAAAACTACAAATAGAACTACCATACGACCCAGCAATCCCACTACTGGGCATATACCCTGAGGAAACCAAAATTCAAAAAGAGTCATGCACCAAAATGTTCACTGCATCTCTATTAACAATAGCCAGGAGATGGAAACAACCTAAGTGTCCATCATCGGATGAATGGATAAAGAAGATGTGGCACATATATACAATGGAATATTACTCAGCCATAAAAAGAAACGAAATTGAGCTATTTGTAATGAGGTGGATAGACCTAGAGTCTGTCATACAGAGTGAAGTAAGTCACAAAGAGAAAGGCAAATACCATATGCTAACACATATATATGGAATTTAAGGGAAAAAAATGTCATGAAGAACCTAAGGGTAAGACAGGAATAAAGACACAGACCTACTAGAGAATGGACTTGAGGATATGGGGAGGGGGAAGGGTGAGCTGTGACAAAGCGAGAGAGTGGCATGGACATATATACACTAACAAACGTAAGGTAGATAGCTAGTGGGAAGCAGCCACATAGCACAGGGAGATCAGCTCTGTGCTTTGTGACCACCTGGAGGGGTGGGATAGGGAGGGTGGGAGGGAGGGAGACGCAAGAGGGAAGAGATATGGGAACATATGTATATGTATAACTGATTCACTTTGTTATAAAGCAGAAACTAACACACCATTGTAAAGCAATTATACTCCAGTAAAGATGTAAAAAAAAAAAAGTAGAGAAGCAAAAAAGAAACAATCACCCTTCATCCCATCACCTAAAATAAATCAGTATTTTGAACACACACACACACACACAAATAAAATAAAA